GAGTTATTGGGACTTACAGCTTCAAGTTTGCAACGATTTCCATTCCTTCCATCCATGGCGTTAGGTCGCCAATTTCGGAACAATTCTATGCATTCTTCGTTACTTTGGTTTTTCATTGGACAGTTGTCCAACCTTCACTATCTCTCGTATCCTGACCATAATTTTCTTCATGTTGATTCATCTTCGTTCTTAGAGCCAAATCAATTATCCTATGAACGTTACTGATGAAGGACTTTTAATTCAAAAATGTTATATTACAATAGTTAATAGAAGTACAATTTTTCCCTATAGTATTCCACCTAAGCTCTACATAGAGCTTGTCGGCGCATTTTTGTGAATATGTTATACAGTTTATTGTTGTCGAGTCTATTCTGTTATATTATATAAATTTAAATATTACCATCCAGGTTTTCCGATTTTTTACTTAATAATTAATAAATAGGTATAGTATTTTTAATTTGAATTGAAAAAAAACATCTAAGCCGTTTTCTCGCGTTCACTTTTTTGACATTGGTTCGAAACCGAAACAGGTTTGAATTCAACAACAAAGTCAATTCCATTGACTGTTTCAAACTGGTTTTGAACCAATGTCAAAAAAGTGGACGTGAGAAAATGGCTTAGATGTTTTTTTAGTGTTTCAATCCGGATTGAAAATACTATACTTACTTAAAATAATAGTCGGTATTGATAATTGGTTCAAGTTATTACAGATTTAAATTTTTCGATATTAACTTGAATGTGACTTTTGGATGCTTTTTTTTAAAATGCTCAAAAGTTTTTTTGATCTTCCACACTAGAAGGAAGCAGGTTGTAGAGTTTCATTACTACTAAGTCGACAAACTTTGAATGCGGAGTGTTACCTGGGCTGGGACCCTGTAAAGGATAAGGATCGGTATCCCTATCGCTATGGCACTTGCTGTCTTCTTCTCTATTTCCAAAATCAGTAGTGAGGGAACGTCAATAGAGATAGAGAAAATATTTCCATTCCTTACAGAGTCTCAGCCCTCGTTTCTTGGTTTGACAGTTCATGCTGGTTACCGCTTTGGTACTGTGACCGTGGCTAATACGTTGCCTTAAGCCTTGATTTTTATAAACAAAATTTATTGACGCCATAATGTAAATAGATCAAAATCCATAAGTGGGGTATTCCTTTGGGTATTCCGGAAAATTAAATTCTGTTGCGTAAGATTTTGGCTTATTTAATATAACTTTGATAATATGTTTTTGAATTATTTTTAAGGGGTGAAAGTGTTTTTCATACGCACCACCCCAGATAGGGACACCATATATTAATATCGATTCCACCAGTGACACATAAACACACTCCAACGCCCTTGTATTCATAAACATTCTCAACTAATAAAATTTATACAAAGTACCTCTAAGCCTTTTAACCAGCAAGTTTATGTGACAGTCCCATTTTAAGAAAGAGTCTTCTTTCAAGAAATGGGGATGTTAATTGGCGGCCTAGATCTTCCGATCTAACGCCACTAGACTTTTTTTTTTGTGGGGTTACATCAAAAGTATGTGAACAATCCCCAACAATTCAAGAGTTGAAAGATGAGATTCGGCACCTTATTCGTGAGATACCACCGGAAATGTGCACGGCTAAGACCGAAAATTTTGGCAAAACAATTGTGTGCTGTGAGAGAAGTCGCGATGGCTATTTGTTGGATATTATTGTGTTTCACGTATAATTGTAAACGAGCATGTTGCTTATTGCTATAAAGTATTAAATGTTTCCTAGTTTGCTCTGCGTATGAATTCAAAAAAACATCAGGAAACTCTTATAGTAACACCCTTTATCAGAAATGCTGTGGCTGAATCATTTTCAAATGCAATTAAAAAACAGAAAAATGAAAGTTCACTTAACTTATCTGAAACATTTTTATTTTCCAGGCTGCCTCTGAGGAAAGATCACCAGCGGTAAGAGGTTTTTTTTTCTTTTGCTAAAATGAATAATTAAAACTCACGTATACTTACATAGGTACTACAATGCAATTCATTCTTATTGGCTCATTAGCGGGTTTGACACGTGAGATAAGGAAACTCCAGGGCAAACATGAAAACAAATAGATACTTTACTGTTCTGCAAAATTAACAACAGCCTAGAAAATACTCACCGGGGTGTTTTACGCCCCATTCAGTAGCTAGCCTACATCACAAGAATTCCTTGGTATAGGTTACAGTTATTTATCTTGTTTTACCATAGTACTTTGTTAAATTAATGCATTATTCTATCTTCAACAACTAGCTAGTGTCCCCTGATATTAGTTAAGGCTTCCCCGAATACGTAGCTGCCGCTAAACAGCCCGTTTTCCAAAAAACGGGTATAGGGGTGACGTGAGCTGCCACCCTTTTACCTATTAGTGTCAATCGAGTAGCAAGTAAGGCCCCTAATCATACGAGACACAACTCGATGGAACAGCGCTATCGTATCAACATGTACAGAGGATTTTAGCAGCAATCTGCTCAGCAGCAATCTGCTATCGAGTAAATGACCTTAGATTTAATAACATTTTTACTCACATACCAGTACCCATAGTGTACTCAAGTCTCGAACCCAAAAACGGTCAAATATCTCACGAAACCACCCAGGGCAAAAACAACCACTCCGACAAAAGGTAAAGACACACTGCCTTCTTTTTATTGCCCCGCTTGACGGGTTTCCCTACCCAGGCCATTTTGGGCTTATTTACCTATCCCTCAAACTCAAGAAACCATTATAGAAACATGGAATATTTTCAAAAAATTCAAACTGATAATTATACAAGGAAGTTTATTACCAAAAATACAAAGCTAAAAGTTGCGTCCACGCAACTGACCTCTATTCGGAATCAGATGGTAAAGGAACACCATCTTCCCCGCTTTCGCCTTGAGTGTCATCTGAAACTCATCCCGGTGGCATTCACGGCTTTATACGATCTACAGTAACAACGCTTTCGTATTTCGAAACCTAGGTCGTTATTGGAGAAAGATAGGAACACACATTTTGCTGAAGTTTAATGTAAGGTTTTCATTTCTCAATGGGGAAAGTATTATTCGTAGGCCATCTAACTTGTCTTCATGCGTCTTGCTAGGGATTATTACATCATCCAGATAAACTGCAGCAATTCCTCGCTGGAAAAGGGCAGGAGCGTTGCAAAGACCAAATGGCATCCTGTTATATTCATAATGCCTTTCTGGCGTAACAAAGGAAGTGAGATATTTGCTTCCTTCCGTGACGGTGATCTAATGGTATCCAGAGCTCAGGTCCAGGCTAGTAAATACACTACATCAGTTTAGTTTATCGATCCGATCATCGATTCGTGGTAAGGCGAGCCTGACCTTGATGGTTTTTACGTTTAACTTCCTGTAATCTATACACATCCTGTCTTGACCATTTTTCTTTTTCACTAACAGCACGGGTGATGCGTATGGCGACTCTTATTCGCGGATAATGTCTGCTTCCAGTAGCTCCAAAACAACAGTACTTTCTGTTTTTCGTTTTCCGCCATTCTGTAAGGTCTATAACGAAACGGCGTGTTATTATTCAGTTTGATGTCTATTCCTACTGACTTGGAAGCTCCAAGTGTTCCAGCGGAGTCTCCAAAACAATTTCTGAATTCTTCCAGCAGGTTCAATAATTTTCGACGAATAGTTACATTGCTCGTTCCAATGTTAAAGTCACTTACCCTAAGTGGAGGTAGTCCTTGTTTGACGAGTAGTACCCATTCGCCTTTTTCATCGTCCTGCTGGCAAGGAAAAGCACGTGCTATAGGATGTTTAGCCGTCAGCACAAGATCTGTACCCGAGAGGTTGAAATGGATTCTCTCAACCATAGTGTCTTTTTTGGGTTTCCATGAGCCCTATTTATCTCTTTTAAGTTTAAATTTTGACTGTCCTTTGTCACCAATAGGCCTGGTACCTCGGTGAACGGCTGTCCAATCAGAATAGGGACTTCCTGCAGGTGATCTGGGACCACTAAAAAATCCACAGTTCGTTGCAGGTCGTCAACTTTTTTTTCTAGTTTGATTTTTCCCAATGCTTTAATATGATTCAACCCATATCCTTTAATGATGACGTGGCAGTTTTCATCATCAGACTCTAAGCATGTTGGCATCAGAAGCATGGATAATATTACAACTTGAGCCAAAATCGATCAAAGCTCGAAATGGTAGAGAGTTTGCCGTAATGTAGTATTTTTTTTGGTTCCTCTTTCTATAAAACCTTTTCAGTCTGCAGACTCTGTTTGGGTTTTTGCTGTTGACGTTCTTTGCAATATTGCGCTCGATGTCCAAATTTATTGCAATTGTAGAATTTCGTCAATTTGCAGTCGGACGCCTTGTGCCCTGGTGTGTTGCATTTGTAGCAGGCAATGTGTCTTTCTAGTCAGCTTTTCCTTAGATAACTTTTCCTTCGTTTTATAAGTTGATGAACCAGTTCCCTTGGACGTACTAGGTTGTGACGTACCGTAGCGGAAATCGCAGGTTTTCAGAAACTTGGGCAAAGCTTCGCACGTCGGATAGTTATTTGCTCTCGCAGCTGCTTGAATTGTACACTGCATTTGTCCCAAATATTTTGCATTGGTTCAGTAACGCTACTTTTTCGTAATAGTACACGATGTAGGAGTCGTCATTTTGCTTGTTACATCGAATCATTTCCCTTTTCAGTTTCATAAAAATCTCTTTGTTGGGGAAAAACTTTTTTAATTCGACCTGCTTAGCAGCAATCTGCTATCGAGTAAATAACCTTAGATTTAATAACATTTTTACTCACACACCAGTGCCCATACGTGTAATCAAGTCCCGAACCCAAAAACAGTCAAATATCCCATAAAACCACCCAGATCAAAAACAACCACTTCGACAAAAGGAAAAGACTCACGGCCTTCTTTTTATTGCCCCGCTTGCCGGGTTTTCCTACCCAAGCAAATACAAAGATAAATATAGTTAATTTAAAATATTTTGAAAGGTACCTATTTCACATAGATTGATTAATTCTTGTTTTTTAATTTATAGGGAAGGAGAAATGGAGGGACAGGAATTGAGGAATAGCCATTCCTGCAATAGAAACTCTGCCCAATCTACATATTATTAATTTATTGAAAATCATTCCACGGCAGTAATTTCTAGGCATTAAATCATAAATATAATTTTTTTTTTGTAACTGTAATAAAATGCAATTATTCACCCCCACTAGATATGTACCAATAATAAAAAAATACCTATTGAACAATAATTAGGAAAATGCAGCAGTTAAAGGAATTTGTCAATTTCTCTTTTATAAATATTTTGTATGTAATCCATGAATAAAGTTTCTCACAGTTTTTCGACAATTTCATAAAAATGTATATCTATTATGTCAACCAACGGTCCGAATTTTCTTTATCAATAGGTATCTACATATTATATTTAGTAGTATAATAAATAAAACAAGTTACTCAAGTTAGTGTTTATAAGTACCCATATAAGTAGCATGAGCTTCTTTTATTTAGTATATTATATTAGTCTGTAATATTAATAATTTTATCGTTATATTAGAACTTTTTTTCTTGTAAGTATGTATTTATGTTTGTTCCACTAACAAACCAGCAATCGGTGAACGCCAATGAAATATTTTAGAAAATTTGATTGGCTTTATTAAATGGTTGATTCTTATTGGAATAGACCCATTATTTTAAATTTTATCTTGCTTCTGTTGAATAAACTGATATTCATATCAGTGAAACAAAAATTAATAAATTAAACTTTGATTATTAGCCTATACTTTGCTAATTTATATCGCAGCTATGGATGACTGAATGTGTTTTTAATAGTTTTTATATGTAAGATAAACAGATGCGGAATCGTTTACTTAAGAAAGGGTTTGTAATTCTTTGTCTTGATGTTGAGTCAGTTCGTATAGTTATTTCTATGAGTTCACACGCTCTGCTTTCCACGCTCTGTTCGATATAATAAATATATTGAATATCGATAATTAACAAGTTCTTTTATTTCTTAGTCCATTTCCCAACAGCTTCAGCTTCAGTTAAACCTTACTTTTTGTGGTCAGTTAAAAGAAAAAAAACTAACAAAAGTCTGATTTTTTTTTGTTCATATACAAATGTGTAAGAAATTTTAAATCAATGATATTCGAATTATCATTATGGCTGTATTTTGTGGTACATAAAACCCCCTCTTTCATGTAATGTGTTAATGTGTTTATGATATAAATAAATAATTAGGATGTTTCCTACGAAAATTGTTTTATTATTTTTCTCTTTTGCCCTTTTGCAATATAAATAGCGGTACATAGCACCCTCATCACTTTTTTGTATTCAAGCTTTTGCCGTAGCAATTAGAATCAAATTTTTTAGTTGTGAATTATTCTTTGTTTTTAATAAAATAAATACATTTAAAAGACAAGATTTACCTAACGAAGTTTTTAATGCCAAAAAATGATTAAAATAATTTAGCAAATACTTTAACATTACTTCAAATTGCTGCGCATACGAGAACCATGGGTGATAATTTAAAATCTATTGTACAGTTACTTGAGCCTTTTGGTGGCGAAGAACAGTATTTCTAATATTTTATTAGTAATATAGAGAATTCTATACTACATAATATTATCATATTATTATACTGGCAAAAATGCACAGTAAGTATATAGTATATGTGATAACAGGGATTACATCAATAAAGCAGGAAACTTCCTTATGTCACGTCCTGACTTAAAAACATCGCTTGATATAGAGAATGCATTAGGAACAAAATATGGAGACTCATATGCTAGACAAAATTTAGTGCAAGAATTAATATACAGTGTGTTTCACGAATATCGAAACAGAGGTGTTTTAAGGTCGATTAAAAAAAAACGCTCGGACACGTCATTTTTGTAATCAAGGGGGAAACTTTTTCACCCCATGGGTATTTCGCTAAGGTGCAGGGCCGTCTCTAGCCATCTCGGGGCCCTAGGCACTTTTAAATTTGGGGGCCCCTATCCCCATTTTTGAAAATGTCATAAAGGGCAACAATAATTATTCGGAACAGAATTTATTTATACAGGGTGTCCACTTAGTGCGATATCGGACGATATCTCCTTACAGTGTGATGCAAGAAAAAAAAAATTAAATTATAAAGTTATTTGCTACTCTAATAGTCCCCAGTACATCGACCTTAAAATTTTGTAACTCATGTACACGCCCAACTTCCTGAGCGGCTTCATAACACCAAGTCGGACAATATTTTTCATGTCTCCACCCTGGGCGATGAGACATTGCTGCGCTAGTTCTTCGTGAAGTTGTCGTTCTGACGTCCCTGAGGAAGTTGATACATGTACGTGTAGTTTCAATGCCAATCGACTGTTTTTTATATTACATTAACGATATCACATTTGTCGGACAAAAACCATGTGGCTTTGGGGAAGGTCCGACGCCCTTAACATGTCGCTGTGGCGTCCCTGAGGAAGTTGATACATGTACGTGTGGTTTTGATGCCAATCGACTGTTTTCTATGTTACATTATTGATATCACATAGGTCGAACAAAAATCACGTGGCTTTGGGGGGGTCCGACGTCCCCAAGATGTCGCTGTGGCGTCCCTAAGGAAGTTGTTACATGTATGTCCTACAAAAATAATTATGAATAACAATGTAATTTTAAAACATGTGTAGTAAATGTCGGACAAATAAAATGAGTATTAAAGTCAGTCGGACAACAAAAGTCCTTTTGATCAATTTCTGCCGAAATTCAGGATCTTCACTCCTGAGATTGCACAAAAAACACGACTGAATATCCATTCTTTCTCACACGCGTGGTTTTGAATGACCGTTCACTAAATAATTTCCGTAAATACTCGGAGAAATATCAAAAAAACAGATCAGGGAATATGACACAAGGCCCACAGGTATTTGACAAAGTAGGTAAATAATAAACTTACTAATATGCACATTGCGTTAAGGCAAACTAATTTTAATTTTTTCATTGATTGTCTCAAATTTCTTGTCCGACAAATGTGATATCGTTAATATAGTGGAAGATCCGAATAGAAAAAGGATCTGCACCCATCTGTTTATTGGGTGAAAATTATTTTATATCAAAGTTAGTATGTTAAAAAATATATCAGTTGTAGGTTGGCTAAAAAATTCCTGGCCAGACTATTATTAATAAATAATTCAAAAATTATAATTGTCAAAGGCATTGCACTCATTTGTTTAACGAACATATTTCATACTAATCGAAAGTATAGGGCCTAAAGAATATAGAAACGTTGGGGTGTCTATTTTTTTCATGGCATAACTATTGGGTTGACAGGTTTGAACAGGTGAGTCGATACTAGTAATTTACACCCATCTATTTAATGTATAAATCATACACCACTCTGTCGCATATTTCCATCCGCACCAAAATTTCGCTTTTCAAAGCTCGCCAACCGTCATTCAGGCCAGATTTTTCGTAGACAACCCTATATCATCGTGTTCGCAATAAAATAACTTTTTTTTTGATATAAGATTTATTCATTAAACAGATGGGTGTGAATTACTAGTATCGACTCACCTGTTCAAACCTGCCAACCCGATAGTTATGCCAGGAAAAAAATAGACAATCCAACGTTTTTATATTCTTTAGGCCCTATACTTTCGATTAGTATGGAATTTGTTCGTTAAACAAATGAGTGCAATGCCTTTAACAATTATAATTTTTGAATTATTTATTAATAATAGGCTGGCCAGGAATTTTTTAGCCAACCCACACCTGATATTTTTTTTAACATACTAACTTTGATATAAAATAATTTTTACCCAATAAACAGATGGGTGCAAATCCTTTCCTATTCGGATCTTAGACTAATATAATGTAAAAAACTATCGATTGGTATTAAAAACACACGTACATATATCAACTTCCTTAGGGACGCCACAGTGACATGTTGAGAGCGTCGGACCCTCCCGAAGCCACGTGATTTTTGTCCGACATATATGATATCGTTAATGTAATACAAAGAACAGTCGATTGGCATTAAAACCACACGTACATGTATCAACTTCCTCAGGGACGCCACAGCGACATGTTGGGGGTGTCGGACCTTCCCCAAAGCCACATGGTTTTTGTCCGACAAATGTGATATCGTTAATGTAATGTAGAAAACAGTCGATTGGCATTGAAACTAGACGTACATGTATCAACTTCCTCAGGGACGTCAGAACGACAACTTCACGAAGAACTAGCGCAGCAATGTCTCATCGCCCAGGGTGGAGAGATGAAAAATATTGTCCGACTTGGTGTTATGAAGCCGCTCAGGAAGTTGGGCGTGTACATGAGTTACAAAATTTCAAGGTCGATGTACTGGGGACTATAATATGCATTAGTTAAAAATATTCCGGAGATTAAATTTAACTGAAATTTTTAATCATGGATTAAATTCAAAGTTGGTGTTAAATGATAGTTTATGAAAATCTTAGACAGGAATGTAAAATCGGTTTTCGTCTAAAATTTACCGTTTATAGTTTTTACAGCCGGTCAAAGTTGCAAAAAGTCAATTTTTAACTGCCAATATTTCCAAAACAGTTGAATCTAGGTAAAGGGTATTATTACATGAAATCTGGTCATAATTTTACGTAGAATACAAATATGCAATCATTGCAATCACATAGAGTAAAAATCAAACGAGAAGAAGCCATTGACGTCAGCGCTGACAAAGAAGGCAGATTTCCTTTTCTCTGGGTCCCTCCCATTTAAAGTGAGACAAACGATAACGCGCGTGGCTTCTTCTCGTTTGATTTTTACTCTACAGGGTGTTCCATTTAAAATAAGAAAGGTCTGACGCATATTCCATAAACGGAGCACCCTGTATATTCAAAAATATTTTAATTAATGCATATTAGAGTATCAAACAACTTTGTAATTTAAATTTTTTTTTCTTGCATCACCCTGTGATATTTCACTAAGTGGACACCCTCTATATATCAAAAATAACAAAATGAAACACATTTTTTTAGGTACATATACAAACAAATAAGTAACCTTTGCCTAACTAAATAATAATATTTAATCTTTGAAACATAAACAATAACG